TGAACCGGTTAGTCGGCGAACCCGAAAGTAAGTAACTTCTGGGAACGGCGAAGGGCCCACCCGCCCGCTCGCGCTCCTTACCGATCTTTGAAGGCTTCTGCGCTTCCACGCAGGCACATGGACATACAGCCCCTGCGCAATTCTCCGCAAGCAGCTGGAGCATCGCGCAGGCGCTAAGACGCATGCGTGAACTGCGCGCGTGCACGAGGACGCCTCCGGCCCTGTTCCAACCGAACGGGTTGGAACGGGATTAGCAACCCACCACTGGCAGAGTTAGTACTTGAACAGAGGGTACAATTTAAAATCCCAATGACATTGTCATTGCCTGGAAGACAATGACAAATAATTTCTTCAGTGCTACCAAGAAAACTATACAGATGCGTCATCTGGATTAAATTTATGGTTCACATTTTTGCCTCCTGCTCTTCTCACCAGGCCTAGTAGGGAAGGCATGCTTAGGATCCCTTCCATCAAACAGTGGCATCCACAGCCTATATCCCCTAATCCTGATGGCCCCAACCATGTTAGTCTTTTTTAAAACTCTGAAGACCTGGCTGTTACCTCTGGCATTTGGGCCACGATCCAGGCAAACTCTGCTGATAATGAATTTGATTCCTGTTGGTTTAACCTTGGGTTTCATTGTTCGTATCTTTTGGGTTTGGTTATTAATCCTTGTAGCCTTCTCCCATAGTCATTGTTGTTGGATGGTTATGTAAATCATTGCCCTCGCACATATGTGCCAGTCATTCCTGACTCTAGGGGGCGGTGCTCATCTCCCTTACTAAGCTGAAGAGCCAGCACTGTCCGAAGACCTCTCCGTGGTCATGGGGCCGGCATGACTAAATGCCGAAGGAGCAAGGAATGCTGTTACCTCCCCACCAAAGGTGGTTCCTATTTTTCTACTTGCCTTTTTACGTGCTTTCGAACTGCTAGGTTGGTAGAAGCTGGGACAAGTAACAGGACCTCACTCCGTTACACGGTGCTAGGGATTCGAACCACTGAACTGCTGACCTTTCTGATCAACAAGCTCAGCATCTTAGCCACTGAGCCACCACGTCCCTTAAATCATTTAATTGAATCTATTTAAATAAGGGTGCGATGGCTCTGTGTTTAAGAACCTGGGTTTGATTGGAAAGTTTGACAACTTCTGAGACCTGAGCACCACTCAACGGGGAGAACTCCTGTTACTCGCCCCAGCTCCTGCCCACCTAGCAGTTTGAAAGCATGCAAATGTGAGCAGATATTTATTTTAAAAATATGAATTTATATAGAAGGAATATCTTATTAAAACAGGCTAAATTGAGGATCCCCTTATAAAAAGTTAAATGTTGGTTGCAAAACTGGACACATTATTATCTAAAATAATGTAAGATGACATTCGACAATAACTGTACAGTACTTCCACATTATAATTTCCAGCACGAGTCTCTTCCTTTATATTCCCAGAGCAGGGGTAAAAGAAAACGCTCTATTTTCCTCAGGCACATTTTTCTGTGTGGTCCTGTTCCCTGTTGCCATTTTATACACGGCTCCAGGTTGACTCAGCTTTTCATCCTTCTGAGGTTGGTAAAATGAGGACACAGATTTTGGGGGGCAAATATGCTGACTCTGTAAACCGCTTAGAGAGGACTGTAAAGCACTGTGAAACAGTATACAAGTCTAAGTGCTATTGCTATTGCTGTCAACTCATGCTAGTTTGCCAAAGTTGGAGTTAGCTAAGAGATAGAGACAGATATATGTAGATGTAGCTGCTGTTTCAAGTACTGTTCTGGGAAACTAAAATGTTTACATCTATTGCTTGCTAATATTCTTTGTGGTTCATTGATAGACAATAACCGGTTTTGTACAAGACATGGAGCTAAAATGGGTACTTTGTGTCTTGGTGTGATGTATGTAGCAGGCTATCATGATATGCCATAATATTTAGCCCTCATATTTTTATTTACAGTAATTGAAGAGTCAGGTATAACATATACAAATTCAACAGAAACAATATAAAAATGTGAACAGTTAAATCAAAACTAAGATAGCAGAATGACTCAAGAGAAAGAGGAAAATTACATTAAGCTGACAATGCAGTGTAAAGAAATTAATTTGAACATATGGGTTTTTACCCCTGAACCTCAAGTTTATAAAGTGCCATAAAATGGTTCATGTGTATTTGTTTGGGATAGCATATTATATGGCCATTGCAGTTGTGTCATGTTAGTTGTGCTTGAAGATCTAAATAACTTGGTAAGAGATAAACAAAGAATAAAATGTAAACCTTTGATCAATATTTATAAATAGGAAAAATGAAAAGAAGAAACCTCACTAAATGTGTCACAGCAGCCTCTATCCTATCCCTAAAGGTAAAGGTTCCCCTCGTACATACGTGCTAGTCGTTTCAGACTCTAGGGGGCGGTGGTCATCTCAGCTTCAAAGCCGAAGAGCCAGCGTTGGCTCCGTGGTCATGTGGCCGGCATGACTAAATGCCGATGGCACACAGAACGCTGTTATCTTCCCACTGAAGGTGGTCCCTATTTTTCTACTTGCATTTTTTTACGTGCTTTCGAACTGCTAGGTTGGCAGAAGCTGAGACAAGTAATGGAAGCTCACTCTGTTATGTGCTGCTAGGGATTTGAACAGCTGAACTGCTGATCTTTCTGATTGACAAGCTCAGTGTCTTAGCCACTGAGCCACCACGTCCCTCATCCTATCCCTAGCCAATCCCTAATTAAGAACTGTGAGGAATATTTTTAAGGGAGATAAATTTCTATACTAGCCTTCTTAAACCAGGGGGAAAAGGGGTTACTTTAGATGAATATAGCTAAATGCTTGTTTTGTCATATGTATGTATCTTGTAGGAAAGTTACCCCATCAGATGATCATACTGAATGACTTAGTTGACAATATTTCCAGTCAGGGTATAGAATTAACAGTTGTATGATGTCTATCCGCAGTCATTGTCCAGAGAATTGTGTTTATAGCTTCACTGGAAGAATATGGTTTCAGTGAAAGTGTAATCTTAAAAGTCATACAGGAAGTCCTAAACTTATAGTTGGTTGCTCAGTGATCGCTTGAAGTTATGACAGATCCCAACAAAGAGACTTGCAACCCAAATTTGAATTAGAAATTCAAACATCCCCCCTCCCAATTATGTACCGTATTTTTCGGAGTATAAGATGCAGCGGTGTATAAGATGCACCAAGATTTTGAAGAGGCAAATTAAAAAGAAAAGTAGGTAGGTAGATAGAGGGATAGAGAGGGAGAGAAAGAGAGAGAAATATAGTAGGTAGGTGGGAGAGAGAGTATAGGTAGGTAGGTAGATAAAGGGATAGAGAGAGAGAAAAATAGAGAGATAGAGAAATACAGTAGGTAGGGACGGAGAGAGAGGGTGTGTAGGTAGGTAGATAGAAGGATAGAGAGAGAGAAAAATAGAGAGATAGAGAAATACAGTAGGTAGGGACGGAGAGAGAGGGTGTGTAGGTAGGTAGATAGAAGGATAGAGAGAGAGAAATAGAGATAGAGAGAAATACAGTGATAGGTAGGTGTTTCTGCTGGCACAGCACCTGATCAATGTAATTCTCATCAATCAGTTAAAGAGCTTTCCAAAAGGAATAAAAAGTTTTTGCCCTCTGCAAACCTCCCAAAAACAGCCCGTTTTTCACAAAAACGGGCCTGTCCCCCCCCCCAAAAAAAGGAATGAATAGCCTTGGGGGGGGGGCTTGCAGGGTGCTCCGGGGTGGGGCAAAAATGAGCAAAAAAGGTCCATTTTTTTGCAAGAACGGGCCCATTTTTTATCAAAAAAATTGCATGCATAGCCTTATGGAGGCTTATAGAGTGCTGCTGGGGGCTGGGGGGTGGGTGGGCAAAAAACGGCTCATTTTTTACTCATTTCTGCCCTCCTCAGCCCCCAGGAGTTCTCTGAAAGTCTCCATAAGGCTATGCAGGGCCATTTTGGTGAAGGGGCAGGGCTTCAGGAGGCAAAAAATGCTATATTCGGTATATAAGATGCATCCAGATTTTCAGCCTCTTTTTTTGAGGAAAAAAGGTGCGTCTTATACTCAAAAATACAGTAATCGTATTGTGGTCAAGTTGTTTGACCATGATTTATCCTAACCTTAACCCTAATCCTTGTTTTTGCCAGAAACTGGCATTTACTTTGACCACAAATGATGTTTGTGCCAGAAATGGGCAAAACCCTCCACCCCTTAATGAACTGTGGCTTCACCTAACAACCCCTGTGTTCGCTTTACAATGTTGCGTTCGCTTAATGACTACTGCAACTTGTGACCAAAATTGGCAGACTCAATTATGATCATAAGTCCAGGATTATCTAGGTACATATCACTGTGCATGATGCTGAATTTTGATACTGCTAATTTTTTCACATTTAACCCTCAGTCAAAACTTTCTTCTCTCTGCACTTCTGAGTTCAGTTGATGTCCTATTAGATTTCATATGAGAATAATTTAGAAGGAAATTAGGAATAGTATATTAGCCTTCTCATTAAGCTATTACTGCCATCTTGACTTTTTTGACCATACTTTGTAGACACTCCTGGTAAATAACCTTAGAGTCTATTATTGTCTTTTTAAAGCCCTCCGTTTTATAGGGCCTTTGGCAGATATTATGAAGGATGTTGAATAGTCTTGATGAGCCTATAAATTGCACTGTTGCTAATCCATTTAGAAATGAGTATTTCACTGTTAATTCCACCATGTAGTAAGCTTTTTTGACTTTTGAAGTGCCTGAAGCAGTAGTGAGCAACATGACTTGCAAGTAACTTTTGAACTCATCTGTGCAAAGTTTAGAAATCAATATCCTAATCGGGCTTTCTGAATGTCTGCCTTCCTTCTTCCTCAACTGATATTTATCATGTTTGGAGTTTCCTCCTTGAGGTATTTCCTTCTCAGGGCAAAACGAGTGTGAAGTTTCACTGCTCTTCTTTTCAAACTTTTTTTTTTTTTTAAGAACAAGTTGAAGTCATCGCAAAAAGATAAAGTTCGGCAGTTTATGATCTTCACGCAATCTAGTGAAAAAACAGCAGTGAATTGCCTCTCCCAGAATGACTGGAAGCTAGATGTTGCAACAGATAATTTTTTTCAAAATCCTGAACTGTATATACGAGAAAACATTAAGGGATCACTGGACCGAAAGAAATTAGAGCAACTATATAATAGATACAAAGGTGAGTAAAAAGTTTTTTGTTAAGGCTTTGAATGGTTGAACTTAGCTGTAATTGTTGGTTTCAATGGGGGAAAACTATGACTGAGAAGGAGAGACGTTTAGCCCTTAGATATTGCAACACAGTTTATTTATTTAACTACCTATTTAAAATAGTTCTTGGCCCATTCTTCCCCTAAGGATCTTAGGGAGGCAGCAAACATATTTATCGTCTGCTATATTACAGGTAGTCCTTGCTTAATGTTCGCAACTGAACCAAAATTTATGTTGCTAAGTGAAACTGTTATTAAGCGAACTGTGCCCCATTTTATGACTTTTCTTGCCACAGGTAAGTGAATCAGTGCAGTTGCTAAGCAGGTAAAACATGATTGTTAAGTGAATCTAACTTCCCCACTGACTTTGCTTGTCAGAAAGTCACAAAGGTTGACTCCAAGATGCTGCCACTGTCGTAAATGTGAGTCAGTTGTCAAGCATTTTAATGTCAATCACAAAACTATGGGGATGCTACAACGGTCGTAAGTGCGAAAAACGATTGTAAGTCATTTTTTTCAGTGCTATTGCAACTTTGAATAGTTACCAAACAAATGGTTGTAAGTCATAGACTGCCTGGAAAAGGAACCATTCACTCACTTACTCACTCACTCACTCACTCACTCACTCACTCACTCACTCACTCACTCACTCACTCACTCATTCTATACCCCTGGCCTTCTCACATATATGACTCTGAACGGGCTAAAATTGGTGAGTAACTTCACCCAATGAGCTTCTTGATTGAGGGTGAATTTGAAGTCAGGGAGTTTGAGCTACGTTCAAATACCTTGCTAAATTAGGGATCTCATGAGATACCATAACTCAGGGGTCAGCAACCCATGGCTCTGGAGCCGCATGTGGCTCTTTCATCCCTCTGCTGCTGCAGCTCCCTGTTGCTGGTTGGCTCCACAATTGATAGGGTTTTCGTCTGGGACAGGTAGAGGAAAAAGGACGCCATGCTAGGAGGAGACTATGATGGGGGAACCAGACTTCCGATCTGCTTCAGAATGGAATTGGGGGGCTTCCGGTTAGGATCTTTGTGGATCTTTGAGTGTTTAAAGTTGCCCACCCCTGCTATAACTCATAAGACTCAAAAATCATGTTTCTGAAATCCAGCCAAAATGATAAATTTCCTAAAGCATATTCTCCCCTTCGTTTTTTTTTCCTTTTAGGAAAATAAGGATGGAGAGGAAGGCTAGAACTGCTCTCAATTTCACCCTTAAACCCCAACCCCAATCCCAAATTTCTTGAAAGATTAGCCCCAAACAATCCTTGCTGCTTCCACGCATATCCCTGGAAGGCCACCTTTCCCTTGGCTAGGAGACTGGATTGAAATTTTCTGACTCAGAGGATATTTTGCTCATTTTGTTCCAGAGCATAATATTGGGAGGAGGGGGGCCTTGATAGAGCCTGCTGTGTCTGAATTCAACCTTTTTTGGTTTCTACAATAACCACAGTTTTAAGAGATTATAACTTTTGTCAAATGTGTAAATATTGTAGTTGACTCAGAGCAAAAGATTGGGGACCTTCTAACTTCAAAAGCCACGTTTGTTCTCATGTTCGATCTAGTTACCTGATCTTACCCACGTTTCTACTCCGACTTTCCTAATAATTATTTGTCAAGCCATTGCTTTTCCTTCTACCCAGAGCCTCCTTAATCAGAGCTGCCTCTTAACGTGGACTTGCAGGGAAATGGATTAAAAAAAAGTCCTTCATGAGAGGTGAATTGTGATTTATTCTCTCTCCCCCCCTTGCGAAAGAGAAAACTGACCCATTTTCAGTTGCACTTGTGATTCCCGGCAAGAGAAGGACTGCGAGACACTTCTTACACATTTTATATCGCAAAGATTGATGTTAAATGGCAACTGCCAGCAGTTAAGGTCCCTTGAGTCAGAAATTAGCTTCTCACTCACATGATTGGTCTTGAAATCACACCTACCGGTTCCAGTCTAGTTGGAGTACTTAATTCTAGGAATGTTTAAATATTCAATTTTTTCCCCCTCCTTTAAGATCCTCAAGATGAGAATAAAATCGGCATAGATGGCATACAGCAGTTTTGCGATGACTTGGCACTAGACCCCGCCAGCATTAGTGTCTTGATAATTGCCTGGAAGTTCAGAGCTGCGACGCAGTGTGAATTCTTAAGGCTGGAATTCATGGATGGGATGACAGAACTTGGGTAAGTGCTGGGGTCCCTCCTGTGATGCATGCAGAGCCCTTTGGGCTAAAGCAATGTTAAAACCCTGCCCATAGGCTGTTTTGTTTTACAGAAAGGCATATTCACTCTTGATTTCCTGGCCTAGTTGCGCATTGATTCTGGCGAATAACACTTACCAGCTCCTTTGTGAACTATTTTTTTTGCTGTTCTTTTTAATCCTCAAGAGTAAGGAGCACAGTGGCTTGAGCGTTGAAAGGCTGGGCAGGAGGTTAGCAAGCCCGCCTTTGAGACCCGAGAACTGCCATGGAGTGGGGTAGGAATCTCACTCTTTACTCCAGTGCCTGCCTGCATAAAAGGAGCCCCCAACTGGGCGTCCCCAGGGCAACGGTGATTGTCACCAGCAGCTAATCCTTTCAACTGGAAGCCCCTCGGTGCTTCTGACATGAGTGCCAAACCAAAAATAATCATCAAGAGTTACAGCAATGGTTTTATTTTTTTTTCCAAAATTGCTTTTAAGATATGTGGACTTCAGCACTCATAATTCCCCAGCTTGCGGGCAGAGGTGGTATTCACTTATGTTTCCTATCGGTTCACAAATGTGAGTGCACGCGCATCCCATCCGTGATTTCCACTACCGGTTTGGGTGAAGCGACAGAATGCCATCTCTGCTTGCGGGCTGGGGAATTCTGGGAGTTGAAATCTACACCTCTTAAAATGGCCACGTTTGAAAAACACAGGGTCATGGTGATGGTACAGTGACAGAATTAAGAGGGGCAATATTTCAATCCCCTTTTTAAATGGCGTTTTTGAAGACTTGTGTTTAGCTTTTGTTTTTTTAATTGTCATAGGTGACAGCAAGCTGACTGAAAACTTGTATTTATTTTTACTATACAAAGTGGAAAATCATTGTATTTTCATTGCTGTGTCCATTAGGGCCAGAAAACTCTCTTTGTGTGTGTGTCATTAAAATATCAGATGAGACCATACCTGGAAGTGTAGCAGACAATATTCCTTACAGATATATCGGTACTAGAACTGAACTTGTGCATTTGTTTACTCTTTTGGCAAGTGTGTTGATGTAAGGTGTGAGAAACCTGTGAAGCAACACAGATGATAGTGTTCCATATGGCAGCTTTTATACTCCCGATGTTTTCTGAAATGTCTTTGTTTACTGGCAAGATCAGGAAAATGTACAGACTATCAGATAATTGATTTAAATATACAAAGAGCTGACTTTCTCAGAAATTTCTTTTAAGACGTAACCTTTTTCTGGTATATATTTTTGGCCTCGGTTACCATATTCATTGATTCAAGCAAACGAAGGGAAGCTGTGATAATTCTTGCAGAATTGTTCTAAGCCTCTGTCTTGTGTGGAAATTTTTATCCCTAGGTGATTTGTAAATGTGTAAATTAATTACTATTTTAATGAACCAAATCGTAGAGAATGTCAAATATCATCCATTCTAAAAGCAGTAATAGTCCTCGACATACAACCACTTGTTTAATGACTGTTTGAAGTCACAATGACCTTGGAGAAAGTGATTTATGACTTGTGCTCACATTTACAATTGTTGCACGTATCCCAAAGTCATGTGATTGTAATTCCGGCATTGGGCAACCAACTCCCGTTTAGGACCAGTGGTAGCATCTTGGGGGAGGTCAATGATTGTGATTGGATAACCTTTTTGTCGATTTCCAGCAAAAACATTCCCCATTGGGGAAACTGCATTCACTTAACGACCATGTGATTCACGTAACAGCCATGTAAAATTGTCATAAAAATGGGGCCAACTCAACCTGCAATTGCCAGGACTTAGGACAGAAATTCCGGTCCCAATTGTGGCCATAAGCCAAGCACCCCCTATATATAAAGGATACAGGTAATCGTTGACTTATAACCAGAATTCAGCCTCAGATTTTTGTTGCTAAACAAGGCAATTTCATGACTGAGATTGGCCTCATTTTACGGCCTTTTTTTTGCCCCAATTGATAAGTGAATCACTGCAGTTGTTAAGTGGATTGTCATTAAACAGATCTGACTCCCCTCCCTCACAAGCGTTGCTTGTTAGAAGCCAGCTAAAAAAGTGACAAATCAGCAATTTCATGACCTGGGACGATGCAGCTGTTATAAGTGCCCGCCCCTTGTTCAAATTGTGATCACGTGACCATGGGGTATGTGCTACAATGGTCATAAGTATGAAAACCTGGTTAAGGTTACTTTTTTCCAGTGCTGTTGTAACTTCGGTCACTAAACAAATGGTTGTAAGTCGAGGACTATCTCTGTCGGTACAGTTTGTGGAAGGATTTAAAAATATGCAGGCTAATATACTGACTGAAGGAGAAATAAAATCTTTTGATGTGTCAATACAGATGTGACAGCATAGAAAAGCTAAAGGCCCAGCTTCCTAAAATGGAACAAGAATTGAAAGAGCCAGGAAGATTTAAGGACTTTTACCAGTTTACTTTCAACTTTGCAAAGAATCCAGGACAGAAAGGTTTAGGTATGTATGCCACCGTTTCCTAGCTCAGGCAGAAGGGACTCGTGTCACATACCATGTTTCCCCAAAAACAAGACAGGGTCTTATTTTCTTTTGACTCCCGAAATAAGCACTTGGCCTTATTTTCGGAGAGATCTTATTATTTTTGAGGTGCAGGAGGCGGCGAGCGTGATCACCCCATGGCTGCTGCTGTGGTGCAATATTTTCAGAGAGGGCTTATTTTCAGGGAAGGACTTATTTTAGCCCATGCGCTCAAAAGCTCGATTGGTCTTATTATCTGGGGAGGTCTTATTTTCAGGGAAACAGAGTACCGGAAAGTAAATTTTTCAGCAATCACTGTGGCCGAACAGGATGATGGAAACTGCCTTTCCCCCTCAGGTTTGGTGCCATTTGATCGAGACAAACCCATCAAGGTCCCTCAGCATGTCCCAAAGGTGCTCCCCCCCCCCCCAAAAAAAAATGCATTTTGGAGTTGTTATTTTTTCTTTGAAAACATTTCGCTTCTCATCCAGGAAGCTTCTTCAGTTCTGAAGTTCACTTCTTCAGAACTGAAGA